TTTGCTGGCCTGTGACCAATTTCCATGTCTTTCCAAAGCCAAGGTCCCTCCTCAGGCTACTGATGCCCCACACAGGATCCCCGACTGTCCAGTGTCAATCTTGATTAAAATGTCAACAAATGTCATTTATTTTGGCATCACATAAGCAGACTTAACAAGGAAATGAGTTACCAGCAGGGGCATGACAGAATCAATGGCAGGTGAAGTCAGGGCAGCTGGCTTTGTCCAGAAAGGATTAAAGAGCTCTTTTGAGGGGCTGGTGTTGTGGCACAGTAGGGTAAGCTGCGGCCTGCAACACTGGCATCCTGTGTGGGTGTTGGTTCGAGTCTCGGCTGCTCTATTTCCAATCTGGCTCCATGCTAATGCATCTGAGAAAGCAGCAAAAGATGGCCCAAGTGCTTGGGGCCCTGCCACCCACGTGGGAGATCCGGATGAAGTTTCTGGCTTCTCGCTTCGTCTTGGCCTTCCCCTGGCCATTGTGGCCATCTGGGGAGTGAACCAATGAATGGAAGATCTTTCTTTCTCCCTGTAACTACCCTTCAAAAAACAATAAATTAAAAGAAGAAGAAGAAAAAGAGCTCTCTTAGGAAGCAGTTCCTCTGCATTTGTGGGGCACAGTTCCCAGACTGGGATGGAGTCCACTACCTGCTTTCCAGTGTTTAACTCTCAGGAGACATTTTTTTTTTTCTGTCCTGATGAAAAGGCAGTGTTCTAGAATACCCTTCTCCAATCCAAACACAGGCCAACCCCTGTGTTTGTTCCAAATGCCTGAACTGTTACTCTCCATGGCACTCTTTCACATTTGCAGCAGGCTCTGAATTCATCTACAATGTTCATTTCCCTTCAGTAACTTCTGGGTGATTTCTGTCCCTGATCTGCAGAGCAAATCACCAAATCAGAGTAGGGTAAGGGTTGCCTGAGGTTGCACAATAAACTGGCCCCAAACAGGGGCAGCCCTGGCGTTTGCAGTCTGTTGACTGGCCACTGCCCCGTGCAGCAGGCGCACAAAGCGAGCTGCACCCACAGCACTGCTGGGCACGGTTGCTGAGCTCTGCATTCATAATTGGGATTGCTGTGTTTTCTGCAAGGCCTGGCCTGTTCTCCGGCCAGATCGGCTGGGGGAGGGTCTCTCCCCAGCGCCTTCCCCTGCACTCTGAATGCAGAAGCCAGCAGACGTGCCTTAAAGAAGAAACCAGAAGAGTGAGCGCCGGTTGCGTGTGCGTGGTCTCCATCAGCAAAGCCAGGGCGGGGCAGCACTGTCTACCCTCAGTCTGTGAACGCAGATCACACAGGTGCTTTTGCTTTTCATGGGCGATGCTTCCTACTGACTGTGGCCAACTTGGAGGGATTTCGGTGGTCTTCTGTTACAAAACAGGACCTGGGCAATTTATAAAAAGTAGTTCAGTCTTTCCTAAATCTCTTATTCAGATAAAAGAAAAAAGATTTATTGGGTCAGTTACAATTACATAGACAGTAGCTAGCCTTCGGCTTTAGAACTCCCCAGCCACTCTGAACCAAGGAGGGGCCCAACCACGCCGACTGGCCCAGCGCTGACAGGGTTAGTGCTGAAAATTCTGCATCCCACAAACCCTTCCCCATAACTTTTTCTTTAACAGTATAAAAACACATTCCTCCACAGGTCATAGAGAAACAAGAGGTGCACTTGGCAGTGAAACCACCACGAGAGGAGAGGAATGAGCTGGAGGAAGAGCGAGAGCTGCAGCCTGTGTGCCCCCACGTCGCCCTCACGCTCAGGGCTCCCTTCTCCCCAGAATCTCAGGATTCTGCAGACCGTGTCTTGGTGTTGGGAGACGTGGCACTGCAGTGACTGCAGGGCGGCCTCCGGCACCTTCACTCTTCTGTTAGTATGAGGCTCACTAGGTAATCCTCGGCCTGTGGCACCAGCACCCCAGGTTCTAATCCTGGTTGGGGAGCCGGATTCTGTCCCGGTTGCTCCTCTTCCAGTCCAGCTCTCTACTGTGGCCCAGGAGTGCAGTGGAGGATGGCCCAAGTGCTTGGGCCCTGCACCTGCATGGGAGACCAGGAGGAAGCACCTGGCTCCTGGCTTCGGACTGGTGCAGCGCACCAGCTATAGTGGCCATTTTGGGAGTGAACCAACAGAAGGAGACCTTTCTCTCTGTCTCTCTCTCTCTCTCACTGTCTAACTCTGCCTGTCAAAAAAAAAAAGTATGGACTTTTCAAACCAATGCTACTTAGTGGCATTTTTATATGGTAGAGATGTTTGGAGGAAAAATTCTTCCCTTAAATCAGACCTCAAGTTGCTCTGCTGGTTTGGCCACAGCTCTAAGGAAATCTGCTGTGGTCACAGGGCCACTCTGGTTTAGAGATAAGAACAAGCTGCCCCTAAAAAGCCCGCAGAGCACCCAAGAGAAACACTTCTTGAGATCTGACTGGGGAGTGGCTGGACAGTGCGGCAAATCTTACCTACTGGGTCAGTGTGACTTGAGCGAGGTGCACATAGGGTCTGTTTTGCCTTAGCCATCTGGGGAAGCCTTGAGCAGTTCTATGTCTTTTTTCTATGCTTTGCTTATCTCATCCCAGAAACAGCCTTAAAGTCAAGCAGTAGCCTGTTCTCCCTATGTCTGAAAGTTCATGTAGACAATCATATTCGAAAGAAAGTCATCTTGCAACCAGTGAGGTGTTCGCTTACCCAAAGGCTACTTCTTCAGGTCCAGCCTAATGTACACTCACTGGGTAACACAACAACGCTAGCCGGAACACTGCCCAGGATTCACGTAGAGTCCCCATCCGCATCACTCAAGTTGTCTCCTGAGTAAACCTTACACGAACCTTTTTGGACATCCTCTATATTTCTGTTAGACACCGGGAAGAGAGTGGTGGGTATTACAGTGCGTGTCACTCCTGGTCCTCATCTTCTGAGCAGCGCTGTCTCGTTGTACAAACTTGAAAAATGTTGTCCTCTTCACTTCTATCTCGCCATTTCCCTGAGGACGTGAAAGAAGGGGCTAAAGAACACCAGCATTTAGCCTGGACTGATGGGGAGTGCCAAGCCCAAGGCCTTCAAACCCAAGGGCAGAGGCAGAGGATGTAGGCAGGAAGGCCATGAACCTTGGAGTTTTTGCCAAGGCCACAGGAAAGCCGGTGAATGAGTCAGCCAGAAACCCCTTATCCTTGATGGTTCATGCGTCCCAGTATTTTCTATGCACTGAGTGGTAAACAGATTGGACAAAGCAACCTAAGGCAGGCAGAAAAAGTTTGGAGAATGTTACTGAAGTTTGGAAAAGAATTTCAAGGTAATGCAATTAGTGGCACTGGGGCAAGATGGTAAATTTGGCATATTGAGGTGCCAGTCTGTCATCTGGCTAAGAACATCCAGGGACCAATAGGTCCGATACTTGAAGAAACACTCAGAAGAGTGTAGGACAGACAAGGGTCACACACACTGAATGGCCTGAGGGAAGAGACTTGGGATGTGAGGCAGGAGGAAGAAAGTGAGAGTGTGGAGGGGGAGGTAGTGCTTCCTGCTACTGAGTCCAGGGAAGTATTAAAACAGATGTCCTTGGATGGAGATATCAAATGATCTTGACCCCTCTGGGATACAATCCCCATTAATTAACAGGGTGCCATGGACTGAATGTACTTCTCACTCCCAGATCCACATATTGAAATCCTAACCCTCCATGGGATGAGCAGATGGAAATAAGCAGGATCTGTAAAAATGTTAACCATAGGTTTATCTGGTGTGGAAGGTGAGTGACTGAGGTCCAGGGGACACAAGCTCAATTACTTTTTGTGAATCTTTAGGAAATGTTCCAAAGTGGTCAACTTCTGGTCAGAATTTATGTGTCACACAGTAAGTACATTGGCTTGGCACAACAAAGGTGGGCTTTCAGTAAGTTAATTTCTCACTGATTGGAGATTTTTTATTTACAATATGACTTTATTTACAATATGACTGTCTGGGGCCAGCACTGTGGTACAACAGGCTAAGCTGCTGCTGCCTGCAATGCCTACCTCCAACATGTGTGCTGGTTTAAGTCCTGGCTGCTCCACTTCTGATCCAGCTCCCTGCCAATGCTCCTGGGAAAGCAGAAGCAGATGGCCCAAGTACTTGAACCCTTGGCACCCATGTGGGAGACCTCGATGGCTTTGGCCTGGCCCAGCCTTGGCTGTTACGCCATTTGAGGAGTCAATCAGTGGATGGCAGATCTCTGTCTCTCCCTCACTCTTTGTAACTCTGCCTGTCAAACAAATAAATATATCTCTAAAAAATATGATTGTCTATAAGCATTTTCAGGAACACAGGGAGAGTAACGTCTCTGAACAGAAGCTAGTGAAAAGAAGGCTACCGATTAATTTTAAGGAAGACATTTCTGGGAAGAGATAAGGAATGCATATGCATGAAGAACAAAGAATTGCTAAGGCTGCCCCAGATAGAAAAGACAAAACAGACCCTGTGTGCAGCTTGCCCCAGTCAGACGGACCTCAGGCAGGTCTCAGTAGGTGCTTTTCTTGAATGGTCTGCAGGTTTTTCCAGCCAGCTTGCTCTCGGATGGTATTAGGTGTCACTTTTGGGAGATGGTTAGGTCTTAAAGGTAGAGTCCTTGTGAATGCTATTAATGCCTTTATTTAACATTTTTTCAATTTATTTTTTATTTATTCAGAAGGAAACAGGGAAACAAAAACAGACAGACAGACAAATGTCTGCAACAGTTAAGGCTGGGCCAGGTCAAAACCAAGAGCTGTAGGCCTGCGCCATGGTTCACTAGGCTAATCCTCTGCCTGTGGCGCCGGCACTCTGGGTTCTAGTCTTGGTTGGGGTGCCAGATTCTGTCCCGGTTGCTCCTCTTCCAGTCCAGCTCTCTGCTGTGGCCCAGAGAAGGCAGTGGAGGATGGCCCAAGTGCTTGGGCCCTGCACCCGCATGGGAGACCAGGAGGAAGCACCTGGCTCCTGGCTTCAGATCGGCGTAGTGCTGGCCGTAGTGGCCATTTGGGGGGTGAACCAATGGAAGGAAGACCTTTCTCTCTGTCTCTCTCTCTCACTGTCTAACTCTGCCTGTTAAAAAACAAACAAAACAAAACAAAAAACAAGAGCTGAAAACTCAGTCTAGGTATGAGTGGCAGGAACCCACTCACTTGAGCCATCACTGCTGCTTCCCAGGATTTGCAAAGGCAGGAAGCTGGAGTCAGAAGCTGAAGTTGGGAATTGAACCCAGGTTCTCTGATACGGGCTGTGGGCATATTAACCGCTGGGCTAAATGCCGGCCCTTCTTTTGGGTGTTTGCATCCAAGAAGGCATTCCCTCCAGAGAGTACAGCCATTTCAGAGTCTGGATGCGGAATCTGTGGTTAGAAACTGCTGCCTGCCCCATGCTGTGGGCTGCACTTGTCTTTCGTGCTCTTTCCCTGCACAGGGAAAGGTACATCCAGACAGTGGAGTAACTGTTCAGCACTAAAAAGAAGTGAAAAGACAGGGAAATGGAAATCCCGTATTACTAAGGGAAAGAGACAATCTGGAAAGGCTACCTACTATGTGATTCCAACTACATGGCATTCTGGAAAAGGCATACGAGGGAGAGAGCACAACGATTAGTGGTTGCTAAGGTTGGGGAAAGGAGGGGTGAATAGGCAGAAAACAGGGGACTGGAGGGTTCTTAGGGTAGTGAAACTCCTCTGTGTAACACTATAGTGGTGGACACAATTCATCATGAATTTGTCTAAAATCATAGAATGAACTCTAACATAGACTATGACTTTGGGTGGTCATGATATTTAAAGGCAAGTTCATGACTATAATAAAGGCACCACTGGGGCAATATATTGATGGTAGTGGATGTTACACATGAGTCAGAACAGAGAGTATATGTGAATTCCTGTACTTCCTGCTTAATTTTTCTGTAAGCATAAAACTTCCCTAAACAATAATAGTTTTCTGAAGTGGCCATTTAGCCTAGTGATTAAGCCACAGGTTGCAATGCTTGTGTCCCATGCCATAGTATCTATATTGGAGTCCCAACTCTGGCTCCCAATTCCAACTTTCTAATGCAGATTCTGGGGGACAGCAGGTGATGGCTCAAGCAGGGGTGTCCATGCCACCCATGATGTAGACTGAGCTCCTGTCTCCCAGCTTTGGCCACAGCCCAGTCAGAGCCGTTGTTGGCATCTGGGGAGGGAAACAGTGGGTGTGAGCTCTTTCTCTCTCTCTGACTCTCAAATAAAATAGTAAGCTTTTTTTTTTTTTAAAAAAAAGGACCATACTTAATGTCAATCTTCTGTCATATGATACACTACTCGATGTTACTGTCAGAGAAAAAGAATTCCAGTGGTTAATATCAGTCTATTAACAGAGAGGACCTTGCTGGTGAGCAGCTCCTTTGGATGTGCCAGGGAATGTTTGCCACCACAGGAGAGGGAGGAATCTCACACTCAAATATTTCTCTTTTCTCGTAAGAAACAGATAATGCCTGCAGATGGTGCATGTGAACACCTGCATTGCAGGAGCATCGCTCTTCCTGCTGTTGCCAAGCAGCAGTTAACTTAGAACTAGTAAGTATTTTCATCGAAAGTCAAATTTGCACATAGTTTTGTAACTAGGATAAACTGTTTACTATGCAGTGCTGTTTCATCTTATTCCTCATTCCTTTGAAAATAAGGAGTTATGGAAAAAAGTACAATTCTTTAAGATATAAAGACCAAATCATATATATATGAAATTGCAATAAAAATACATACATATATATATGTGTGTATACATATATACATATATATGTATTTATGTATTTATACATATATATGTATAAATATGTATGTATTTTTATTGCAATTTCATTGCAATTCACTGAACATTCAATATACTACAGAGCACTTTTTCTGGGATTTAATCCTAAGACATAAATGTTGCTGGTACTTAGCAAAAGGCTCCAGTTCACAGCTAATGCTACCAAAATGTTTTTCTAAATAAAAACACAACATCAAACAAAATGAGTCCAAATATCTTCCTTAAAAACATCACTTTAAAGTTTGTTCTATTCAGACTAATGGCTAACACAATAAAGGCAGACACACACAACTGGCTGGTTTACACAGCACATACTTACTAGTAAGTGACAGAGAACCCAATTAGCCACTTTTATAGAACTAGGAAATACATTTTTAAGAAAGATTTTTATAGACCCCCATATTTTATGCCTAATCACAACAGTCTAAGGTTCAAGAGGAAATGACTTTCTTTACATGAGCTCACGACTACAGTTGCTTTGCTATCAAATCTATATTTCTGATCCACGATGAGCATTGAGATGAGACGGAAATAGTTCCAAAGAAAACAGCACGACACGTGTTATGATATCACATACTCAGCGAGAGCAAGCACTGCATTCGAAACTATCATCTCAGGAATTAAAGGCGGCCGGCCCGACACACTGGCATTTCCTCCACTGTGGGACTGTAGAAAGTCTCAACGTCACAGAGAATCCTTCTGTCTTCTCTAATGTTTCCGGTCAGACCTTTCCTCCCAAACTGACCTCCACTGCCGATTCTGAACAAAACAAAAATTATTAATCAGATACATACTATTGAACAATATGAACTATGTATTAAGCACCAGTGGTTACTTATTTGCCAAAATTATATGTAGAATGCTTCAAACTGGAGCACTAGATACTGATCAAATATCTTTAAAATAAGAATGGGGCCAGCACTGTGACATAGCAGATAAAACTGCCACCTGCAACACAGCCATCCCATATGGGTACCTGTTCATGTCCCAGCTGCATCACTTTGGATCCAGCTCCCTGCTGATGTACTGGGAAAAGCAGCAGAGGATGGCCCAAGTGCTTGGGTCCCTGCACCCATGTGGAAGACCTGGAAGAAGCTGTTGGCTCTTGGGTTTAGCCTGGCTCAGCCCTGGCTGTTGCAGCTCTATGGAAAGAGAACCAGCAGAGATCTCTCTGTCTGTCTGTCTGTCTCTCTTTCCAACTCTGACTTTCAAATAAATAAATCAATAAATCTTAAAAAAAAAAAAAGAGGCCGGTGCCGCAGCCCAATAAACTAATCCTCTGCCTGCGGCGCTGGCACCCCGGGTTCTAATCCTGGTCGGGGCACCGGATTCTGTCCCGGTTGCTCCTCTTCTAGTCCAGCTCTCTGCTGTGGTCCAGGAGTGTAGTGGAGAATGTCCTAGTCTTTGGGCCCTGCACCCGCATGGGAGACCAGGAGAAGCACCTGGTTCCTGGCTTCAGATCAGCGCAGTGCACCGGCCGCAGCAGCCATTGGAGGGTGAACCAACGGTAAAGGAAGACCTTTCTCTCTGTCTCTCTCTCTCTCACTGTCCACTCTGCCTGTCAAAAACAAACAAAAAAAAAGATTCCTTGTGCAATCAGTGCAAATGAGCCTTTATCAGGCACGTTGAACACTATTATTTATAAAGCAGATCACAGCATTGCACTTGGGATAATAAAATTAAAGCCCATACGAAAGCCGAGAGTCAGGGAGAGAGGTAAACGCCAGGGAGAACGGAGGGCACAGTTACAATCCATTTCTGAGGCCCCTGTGGGATTGTAAACTGCAAATGGAAACTCCGGAATGTTAACCACTGTCTAGGACTATGCTGTCCAACACAACAGTCACTAGTCATATGTTGGTATTTAAATAAAATGAGGCAGAAAATTCCGTTTCTCAGTTGTATTAACCATATTTCAATATCCACATGTGGTCTGTCACTCGTATTGGACAGTGCAGACACAGAAAATTTCCATCATCGCAGAAAGTTCTATCGGATAGCATTGGTCCAGGCTGTAAAATTTCTCTGATGGGGGAAAACCCTAAAAATTTATGATGGTAACCCATATTTTTCTCTGTTTCTGCTCAGTTTCATCTCACTGTAACAAATGACTGAAATGTGTAGTCAACAGCTGTCTGGGACAGAAAACAGGGGATGGCCCAGCAGGGTAAGCCACCGCTTATGACACTAGCATCCCATATTGTAGCACCAGTAGACCCCTGTTGCTCTGCTTCTGATCCAACTTCCTACATTCACCTGTGGGAACGCAGTGGAAGATGGCCCAAGAGCTTGGGTTCCTGCCACCTACATAGGAGACCGGGATGGAATTCCAGACTCCTGGCTTCAGTCTCATGCAGGCCTGGTTGTTGTGGCCATTTATACAGTGAACCAGTGGATGGAAGATCTCTTTCTCTGTCTCTGTCTCTCCCTCACTCTCTCTGTCACATTATCTTTCAAATAAATAAATTGTAAGGAGAAAAAATAGCTATCTACAAAAGCAGTTCAATCAAAAACATCATTGCTGTGACAACTTTAAATATCAAATAACCAAGACAAGGGGAAAACAAATGTAGAAAACATGCTATTTCACCTATGAATCTATGTCTTCGATCAGACCCATGCCACTTCTGACCATGACCTTGTCATCTGCTCTTATTGAACTTTTTAAAACAGTCATTTTTATATTAGCAACAAGGCACAATTCAATTTATCTAGGGATAAAGCCACGATAACTAAGTCTGAGTCAACATAAATTTCTACCAGAAAATACTAAGAAAATTTTAATTACAGAGGAACCATCAAGAAAATACAAGTTACCACAAGCAATATAATTTAAAAAAGGACACATGTAAAATAAAGACAAGCAGATATAACAACATTGTTGTTTTCTTCTCTGAATATCAATAATACAAATGCTGAAATTTCACATTTGCTTTCCCTTCTGTGTTCTGACCAACTATTAAGCTTCCCAAGTACAATTTAAATAAATCTTATCATGTTAGAAGGTAACAATATTGTTTTCCTGATTCAATTGTCTGATTGTCAAGGTTGTCTGGGTGACAAAATCATTTTGAAAACTAATGTATCAGTTTATTTCACCAAAAAAAAAGCAAGTAATTCAAAGAAGATGAAAAATACTCAATTAAGAAAATAGTTTTCAGGGCCAGTGCTGTGGTGTAGTGGATAAAGCATCTGCCTGCGGCACTGGCATCCCATATGGATGCTGGTTTTTGTCCCAGCTGCTCCTCTTCTGATCCAGCTCTCTGCTTATGGCTTGGGAGGGCAATGGAAGATGGTCCAAGTGTTGGACCCCTGGAAGAAGCTCCTGGCTCCTGGCTCTGGATCTGCTCAGCTCTGGCTGTTGTGGCCATCTGGGAAGTGAACCAGCAGATGGAAGGCACCTCTCTCTGTCTCTTCTTCTCTCTTTCTGTAACTCTACCTCTCAAATAAATAAATAAATCCTTTTAAAAATTAAAATAGTTTTTACAAGTAGTAGATAGATCATAGTGTATAACCATAGACACTACTTGTATATAAAAACTAAGAACCCAAGATATGACAGTATATATTCAAATTGTGATGCAAAAAGCATTGCTGAACACTCCTCTAGCCCACAAAATAGTAATGTCCTATCTCTCCCACCTCTACATATCTCTATATCTATCTGTCTGTCTATCAGGCCTAGTCCTGAGTGTGGTCTTCATTCCCCCACAGCTGGTAAAGGCTACTATAAATCTTCTCCCCAAATCAACTTTTGGTAGATAAATATTGTAATTAAATAAGGAACTGAAATACTTACCAACAAATCAATAGCCATCAAAATACAGTTTGCCCCTTATGATTTCTCTCCTGATAATGCCTTTTTCCTTCTGTCATCACCTGCAAAGTATGAACAAGCTGTAATTCTTGATAGCCACCCATCAAGCCACTGCTTGAACTGGTAAACATGTATGGGACCCAACATCCCTGTCTCTGGAATACCACGTAGACAGGGCCAGGAGGATAACAACTTTATTTTGAGCAGAGACCAAGGACAATGCAGCACTTCAAAGCTACACTGTAACTAGATCCTGCCTCCTTTACTAAGGAAATCCCCAGATACTAACAGAGCAGCCCCGATCACCTCAGGAGCTGAAATCCCTGGGCTGAGGCCAGAATATTCTTCATCTTGTGTTTTACAAAGAACAGCCCAGTCTCTCGACTGTCACAAAGGGCATAAGAATACAAGTTACTTCCCCACAGTTTCATTCATATCAGAATTTAAATAAAAACCCATCTTACTCTGCTTACTCTGATTCTCATCCCTACCATTGGAAGAGACATGCTATTCATTCATTTTATTAATTTTGCCTAGATAGACAGGTAGATATCACAAGCGCTGTGATATCAAATCTAGAACAAGCAGTCTGGACTGAAGAGGTTCATCTCAGTTTTCTTCTATCTGGTGTAGTTGTTTAATTGATTTTTCTTCCTGTGCTTACTCTGCTAGCTTTGTCACAAATACTAAGCTGAGATTAGATTAGTTTATACAGTTTTAGCAGAAAGGTTAAATTAAAAAGAACATTACCCTCTTTCAAAATCATTGTAAAACATTGATCCTTCAAGGCGCGCCTCTTCCTTCTTCCCCAGAATCTAAAATGGACCACTCAGGAACATCTTGATAAATTCCAACATACTGACTAGCGCTGAGGCAGAAGGCAAAGAACCCTGAGAAAGAGACAATGACTAATTATGCTGACACATCAGTCAAGAGGACATGACAGTCTTCCTAAAGATACTTCAGGAAATAATGTTTGAGACCAAGCGTCCCTGTCTTACTACAGGTTGAGCCAGACAGAGATTGTGGGAAACAATTGCTGTCAGCAGGGGGAAGGACAATGCAGCACTTCACAGCTACACAGTAACCACTGACCCCACCTGCCAGCCAGAGGGAAGTCACCGGCACACTCCAATCCTTGCATTTAATTCCCAGGTAATCACATGGATTTGATCCCTTACCTCAATATTTTTACCCACCTCATCCAAAACAAACAACTTGATTCATTTTGGAAAATTGAAAAATGTTTTACTTAAGCAAAAGCTGGGTAGAGCAACGTCCTTTCAAATAGCACAGCATGGAAGGAAGATAGAAGAGTAACTTTCCAGTAGAGTAATCTGACAAATACTAGTAATCAACATCAATGTCAACAGTCACAACTCTTGCCATGACGTGATGGCAATGACACCTGTCATCTGCGCTCTGCCTTGCCATGCCCCAAATCCCAATGTAATCTTCAGAAAAATATCACACAGATGCTATTAGAAGCATCTTACAAAATACCTGCCCACGGCTCTCCAAGACTGTTAAGATTGTCAAAAACAAGGAAAGTGTGAGAAATTGTCACAGCCAAGAAGCGCCAAAGGGAACACAGCAGCTACATGTAATGCGAGACCCTAGATGGGGTCCTGCAGCGGAAGAATTAACATTAGGTAAAAGCTAAGGAAAGCTGAGTAAATTCTGGACTTCAGTTCAAACTACTGCATCAATATTGGCTCACTCCTTATACCACACCATAATCATATCATCAATTTATGATATTAATGTAAGATGTTAATAACAGGGTCTCTGGGTACAAGGTGTATGGGAACTCCTTGTACTATCTCTCCTACTTTCTTATAAACCTAAAACTGTTTTAAAAAGTAAAATAAAGCCTACTTGAAGAGTCTTAGTACCACCTGTAAATGTTGATGCACAGCTTCTGTGTTAATGAAGCTCTTTTCCCCTCCCATATCCCAAATATCACTTTAAAGAAAACAAGACCTTAGGAAAAATAGAGCAATACTTACCATAGATTTTTTGTTTAACATATCAACATCTGCATATACATTAATAACAGTATGTTCTGTCTCTGCCTGAACTTTTTGCCTTTCACTTAAAATACTGATTCCAGATTCCACAATGCAGGTCTGACGAGTTGCTCCCACAGTCTTCATGTGCCAGAATTAACTGGTGGATCTAAAAGTCAAAAATGCCTAAATTACTGTGGTGTAGAAATGCACACTCCAACTGACTTCTATGCACATGGCTAAATGTTGACTTGTTCATACTGGGCTTCAAATTCTGGTCTGCAAACAGTTTTTTGTCCAGCACAACACAGCTTCCACTTCTGACTCATCAAACTGCTTCAATTAAAAGCCCTTGAAACTCTTCATTTTTTATTTAGTATTTGTGTCTTTTCAGAAAAGGATTTCTAAAGCTACAAGGCAGATGATTAGGAGGTAAAAATAAACATTTTTTTGCATTTATTCTTTTATGTATAAGATGCATAAATAGTGAAATAAACTCTGCACTTACATTTCCAAGTGAATTGTTCTGGTATGCATTTACTGATTATTATTCATTTTAAAAATTAAAATCTTTGCAATAGAAAACTGACTTAAACAGCCTTGATCTTGATAAATCCTACACTTTTGTTAAAACAAGATTTATTTTGAAGCCAGCACTGTGGCATAGAAGGTTAAGCCTCCGCCTGTGGCACTGGCATCCCATATGAGCACAGGTTCAAGTCCTGGCTGCTCCACTTCTGATCCAGTTCCCTGCTAATGTGCCTGGGAAAGTAACAGAAGATGGCCCAAGTGCTTGGGCCCCTGCACCTATGGGGAGACCTGGAAGAAGCTCCTGGCTCCTGGCTTCGGATCGGCCCAGCTCTGGCCATTATAGCCATTTGGGAAGTGAATGGAACAGATCAAAGACTCTGTCTGCCTTTCTCTCTACCTCCCTCTACCTTTTTTTTTTTTTTTAAAGATGTATTTATTTATCTGAAAGAGTTACACAGAGAGAGGAAAGGCAGAGAGAGAAAGAGAGAGAGAGTGAGAGAGGTTTTCCATCCGATGGTATACTCCCCAGTTGGTTGCAATGGCAGGAGCTGTGCTGATCCAAAGCTAGGAGCCCAGGAGCTTCTTCTGGGTCTCCCACACAGGTGCAGGGGCCCAAGAACTTGGGTCATCTTCTACTGATTTCCCAGGCCACAGCAAAGAGCTGGATTGGAAGTGGAGTAGCCGGGTCTCCAACCAGCGCCCATATGGGATGCCGATGCTTCATGCCAGGGCATTAGCCCGCTGCACCACAGCACTGGCCCCAATACACCTTTTTTTTTTTTAAGATTTCATAGCTAATATAGCAGTGAGCTTTGAAAATGTTCAACAGATGTGTCATAAACGACCAAGATTCCTATGTCATAACACATCACTGCAGTTTTAATGTTGCACAATTGTATTTAATCTTGTCAACACTTAACACAAAGGGCACAGGTCTTGATACAACCTGGTAGAAAGAAAGCTCCAGTTTCTCAATCTGTTGAGGCACAGTTCTGTAACCATTACTACAAACCTAGCTCCTGCTCAACTTCAAACAAAAACTCCACATATGCATGGACAATCATTAAGAAGAAGGCTCTAGCTGGATTACTTTATACCAAGTCTTGAGCTGTTCCTCATGCTTCTAAAAGCTGAAGTATCTGGGAACTGACTCCTTAACCAGTGCCTAATGGGAGCAGATGGAAATATGCCAGCCTAGTGGCTGGTGGCTGAGGACAGCCCTAAGGACTGACCACACTGACTTCAGGGTTCTGCAGCACTGAGCCGTCTCCAAGAACGGCTCGGCAGAACGCTTGCTCAGCAGCTAGCCTGCCTTCTACCCTGCCCTATCCCATTTCCTCCTCCACTATGATTTCTTCCTGGAAACTTTCTAATAAATTACTTGCACATCAATCCCTATCTCAGGGTTTACTTCTGGGGTCCAAAGACACATGATACAGTATTTTAAAATGAATGAGCTTCCTACTTACAAGCAATATAACTGACTATTTTGAGGACATGTTTCTGATACAAAAGGTAAAGTCACCTTGCCACTACAGAATGTAAATAAAGAAAACTGATCTGGAAAAGTTTTACAATGCAAATTTAAATATTCAACATACTAGTCCTATACCTGTGATAATATTACAAATATTTTCCTCAGTCCAGTCCATCAGTTGTCTTTTGATTTTATGACGTAGTTGCCATGCAATATGTTTCATGAAGGCTGGCGCCGCGGCTCACTAGGCTAATCCTCCACCTTGCAGCGCCGGCACACCGGGTTCTAGTCCCGGTCGGGGCGCCGGAGTCTGTCCCGGTTGCCCCTCTTCCAGGCCAGCTCTCTGCTGTGGCCAGGGAGTGCAGTGGAGGATGGCCCAAGTGCTTGGGCCCTGCACCTGCATGGGAGACCAGGAGAAGCACCTGGCTCCTGCCTTCGGATCAGTGCAGTGCTCTGGCTGCAGCGGCCATTGGAGGGTGAACCAGCAGCAAAAGGAAGACCTTTCTCTCTGTCTCTCTCTCTCACTGTCCACTCTGCCTGTCAAAAAAAAAAAAAAATGTTTCATGAAGTCAAATTTTTTAAAAAGATTATTTATTTATTTATTTATTTGAGAAGTAGAGTTACAGACAGAGGGAGAGACAGAAAAGGTCTTCCACCTGCTGGTTCATTCCCCAGATGGCCGCAATGGCCGGAGCTGAGCTGATCTGAAGTCAGGAGCCAGGAGCTTCCTACAGGTCTCCCACATGGGTACAGGGGCCCAAGCACTTGAGCCATCTTCCACTGCTTTCCTAAGCCACAGCAGGGGGAGTGGATCAGAAGAGGAGTAGCCAGGACACAAACTGGCACCCATATGGGATGCCAGTGTTGCAGGTATAGGCTTAGCCCGCTATGCCACAGTGCCAGCCCCTCATGTAATCAAATTGATCCAATTTTCCTTCTATTGTTTCGGGATTTGGGGTAATAGAAAGACTTTTTCTTTTAGTACTTGCATGATTTCATTTTCACATTCGGATCTCTGATATATTTGCACTTCCTTTTTTGTATACCATGAGTTATGGACTAATTTTATCTTTCTCCAAATGGCCAACCAGTTGGTCCAATATCATTTATTAAAAAGTCCAACTCAGACCCAATAAAATGTGATACCATCTTTAATTTTTCACATATACACTTGGGAACATCTCTAGATTTTCTAATCTATTCTACTTGAGTTTTTTTATAGATATATTCACACATTAATTCCAAATTTTATAGAAATTTTGTAACTTACATAGCCATAAAACCTCTATGACAATCTTTTTTTTGTACTAGAACAGATTAAAGCTGATTTTATACATCAAAAAAAAAAAAAAAAAGAACAGTGCACTTCAGTCAAGAGATTGCCCTAATTTTAATTACATAAGTGATTAGGTTTATTTTTTCCTTTCTTTTCTTCTTTTTTTTTTTTTAAATTTAGTAAATATAAATTTCCAAAGTACAGTTTATGGATTACATTGACTCCCCCCCCATAATTTCCCTCCCACTCACACCCCTCCCATCTCCCACTCCCTCTCCCATTCCATTCACATCAAGATTCATTTTCAATTATCTTTATATACAGAAGATCGATTTAGTATATATTAAGTAAAGATTTCATCAGTTTGCACCCACACAGAAACACAAAGTGTAAAATACTGTTTCAGTACTAGTTATAGCATTACTTCACATTGGACAACACATTAAGGACAGATCCCACATGAGAAGTAAGTACACAGTGACTCCTGTTGTTGACTTAACAATTTGACATTCTTGTTTATGGAGTCAGTAATCTCCCTAGGCTCTAGTCATGAGTTGCCAAGGCTATGGAAGCCTTTTGGGTTCACCGACTTTGATCTTATTCCGACAGGGTCATAGTCACAGTGGAAGTTCTCTCCTCCCTTCAGAGAAAAGGTACTTCCTTCTTTGATGGCCCCGTTCTTTCCACTGGGATCTCACTCGCAGAGATCTTTCATTTAGGTCTTCCTTTTTTTTTTTTCCCCAGATTTCTTGGCTTTCCATGCCTAAAATACTCTCACGGGCTCTTCAGCCAGATCCAAATGCCCTAAGGGCTGATTCTGAGGCCAGAGTGCTGTTTAGGACATCTGCCATTCTATGAGTCTGCTGTGTATCCTGCTTCCCATGTTGGATTGTTCTCTCCCTTTTTGATTCTATCTGTTAGTATTAGCAGACACTAGTCTTGTTTGTGTGATCCCTTTGACTCTTAGACCTATCAGTGTGATCAATTGTGAACTGAAGTTGATCACTTGGACTAGTGAGATGGCACTGGTACATGTCACCTTGATGGGATTGTATTGGAATGCCCTGGCACGTTTCTAACTCCACCATTTGGGGCAAGTCCGATTGAGCATGTCCCAAATTGTACATCTCCTCCCTCTCTTATTCCCATTCTTATATTTAACAGGGATCACTTTTCAGTTAAAATTTAAACACCTAAGAGTAATTGTGTGTTAATTACAGAGTTCAACCAATAGTACTAGAACAAAAAAAAAATACTAAAATGGATAAAGTATTACATTGTACATCAACAGTCAGGACAAGAGCTGATCAAGTCACTGTTTCTCATAGTGTCCATTTCACTTCATCAGGTTTCCCCTTTGGTGCTCAGTTAGTTGTCGCCGATCAGGGAGAACATATGTCCCTTTGGGACTGGCTTAATTCACTCAGCATAATATTTTCTAGATTCCTCCATCTTGTTGCAAATTACCGGGTTTCATGGTTTTTGACTGCTGTATAGTATTCTATAGAGTACATGTCCCATAATTTCTTTATCCAGTCTACTGTTGATGGGCATTTGGGTTGGTTCCAGGTCTTAGCTATTGTGAATTGAGCTGCAATAAACATTAAGGTGCAGACAGCTTTTTTGTTTGCCAATTTAATTTCCTTTGGGTAAATTCCAAGGAGTGGTATGGCTGGGTTGTATGGTAGGGTTATATTCAGGTTTCTGAGGAATCTCCAGACTGACTTCCATAGTGGCTTAACCAGTTTGCATTCCCACCAACAGTGGGTTAGTGTCCCTTTTTCCCCACATCCTCTCCAGCATCTATTGTTGGTAGATTTCTGAATGTGAGCCATTCTAACCGTGGTGAGGTGAAACCTCATTGTGGTTTTGATTTGCATTTCCCTGATTGCTAGTGATCTTGAACATTTTTTCATGTGTCTGTTGGCCATTTGGATTTCCTCTTTTGAAAAATGTCTGTTGAGGTCCTTGGCCCATCTCTTAAGTAGGTTGTTTGTTTTGATGTTGTGAGTTTCTTGATTTCTTTGTAGATCTGGTTATCAACCCTTTATCTGTTGCGTCGTTTGCAAATATTTTTTCCCATTCTGTCGGTTGCCTCTTCACTCTCCTGACTGTTTCTTTTGCAGTACAGAAACTTCTCAATTTGATGCAATCCCAATAGTTGATTTTGGCTTTGACTGCCTGTGCCTCCCGGGTCTTTTCCAGAAATTCTTTGCCTGTGTCTATATCTTGCAGGGTTTCTCCAATGCTCTCTAATAATTTGAATGGTGTCGGGTCGTAGATTTAAGTCTTTAATCCATGTTGAGTGAATTTTTGTGTAAGGTGAAAGGTAGGGGTCTTGCTTCATGATTCTGCACGTGGAAATCCAATTTTCCCAGCACCATTTATTGAATAGACTGTCCTTACTCCAGGGATTGGTTTTGGATCCTTGATCAAATATAAGTTGGCTGTAGATGTTTGGATTGATTTCTGGTGTTTCTATTCTGTTCCACTGGTCTATCCATCTGTTTCTATACCAGTACCATGCTGTTTTGATAACAACTGCCCTGTAGTATGTATGACAGTCTTTATAACCTCTATAATATAGTTTTAATAGATTAAAGCAGAAAAAAAAAAGAATGGCAAACCAATATTGAACACCGGTTAGTTGGTTTGCTTTTCATGGTAGTATGGCTGAGCAATGTCCAAATTACTTTCCGTGTGGTTTCTGAGCAAATGGCAAATATGTTGTGACAAAAGAGAGCCAGCTTTCTCACTCTCAGAAAAGGCCTTCACATGAAAAGCACAGACTTGGTTGAACCATGAGGTGTTACATGGGAACATGGCAACTTGAGCTATTAGCTCAAGTGTTTTGTCTTGCTTTTAAAACACAAAAAATATACGTGTGAATAGAGACAGAAAGAAAGATAGAGAAATACATTTAGAAATATATCTATACGAATACAGAGATATAAATGTGGATGGCTGCATGTGTGCATGGACATTTACATGCACACACAGATAACGTGTTGCTTAATGCCACCACACATTATGAGAAGTGTGATGTTAGACAAATGTGTGTCCTTACACAAACTTTCCTGACTGCACCATCACTAGGAAGAATCTTCTGGAACCATGAGTGTACACATAAAATCTCCTAGCGCTGTCTGCTGAGGGACCCTGGAAGCATGGTGTCCCAGGAGCAGCAAACACACCTTAAGCCCAGACACGGGCTTTGAAACAGCATTCTCCAATAAAAGGAACCAGGGCTACTTGGAGAAGTGGCCAACTCCAAGGCTGGAGGACAGAAACTACAAGATGAGGCTGGAGTGTCTTCCTGTGCCTGAAAATAGGAAATGAATGCGAGCATACAAAAAGGATACAGGATTGGCTTGGAGAGACTCCTGCCAGGCAAAAACCAGACATCTAAGCAACAAGTGAATATTGATGGCAGCCACACTGTGGCCTAGCGGGTTAAGCCACTGCCCGTCATACCAGACTGCCATATGAATGCCTGTTCCAGTCCTGGCTGCTCTACTTCCGTTCCAGCTCCCTGCTAATGGCCTGGGAAAGCAGAGAAAGATAGACCCCTGCCACCCATGTGGGAAACCCTGAAAAAGATCCTGGCTCCTGGTTTTGCCAGGCCCAGAATCCCGGGGGGCCACTTGGGGAGTGAACCAGCAGATGGAAGATTGATTCTCTCTCTCTTTCTGCTTTCAAGTAAATACATTAAAAAAAAAAAAAAAAAAGCGCTAAACAGGGGCCAGTGCTGTGGCGCAGTGGGTGAAGCCATTGTCTGCAGTGCCGGCAGGCCATATGGGCGCCGGTTCGAGTCCTGGCTGCTCCACTTCTGATCCAGCTCTCTGCTATGGCCTGGGAAAGCAGCAGAAGATGGCCCAAGTCCTTGGGCTCCTGTGCCCACGTGGGAGACCTGGAAGAAGCTCCTGGCTTCTGGCTTCGGATCAGCTCAGCTCCGGCCTTTGCGGCCATTTGGGGAATGAACCAGCAGATGGAAGACCTCTCTCTCTGCTTCTTCTCTCTCTGTAACTGACTTTCAAATAAAATAATAAATCTTAAAAAAAAAAGCTAAACAAGTAAAATAAACAAATAATACATCTTTAAAAAAAAGCTAAACAAATAAAAAAGCTAAACAAATGGGTTATAAACCACAGAATAAAATAAGAATCTATGAGTCTTCAGGTAATAATAAAGGAATAAATGGGGGGTTACGGTAGAAAAACAAGAAAAGCAAAGCATTCTGTAGCCGGTGTCGCATGGGAGGGCAAGGGGACGACGCCCTCTGCAGGGTGAGCCTGGAAGCAGCGCCCCCTCCCCAGTCCCGCCCGTCTGACGCTGCACCCTCGGCCCCTGCGCACCTGCCACCGTCCCCGTCACCAAGTCCCTGCTCTCAGATACGCCGCGCCTCCACCCACCGTCTCCTTGGAGGCAGCAGCAGGCTTGGCAGATGCTGTTACCGATTCCTCTCCGACACCCAGAGGCAGCCGCCATGTCCCGAGGCGCTGCCGCTGGCCGATAGGCAGTCGCATCACCGCCGTCACCAACACCGACCCGCCGCTTGGCATAGAGGTCTTTTGTCCTCCTCTGGCCACCGTCCAGGTCGGCACCAAGAACTGAGCCAATCCAAGAGAAGCCTTCGGGCGGGGGCGTTGCCGCTACAAACGGTTGGCCAATCGGGTTGCATGCTCGCGGGGTATGGTCGCTGCTCCCCAGGCCCCCTGGGGTCCGCCCTCCGCCGGAAGGGGTGGGCTTTGTTCCTCAGCCTCCTCAGGCGCCCCCGCGGTGTTCCTGTCGCCGTTTCTGGCGGGGGCCTGCCGGGTCCCACCTGCCTCATGGACTTTGGCGTGAGAAGCTCTCCTCACGGCCTGCTGTTTTTGGAACAGCTGAGGCGAAGTAACGGGGCGCGAGGCTATCGTAGGATAGAAAGAGGTGAGGAGTAAAAATCCTGCAAAATTGTTCAGCATTTTCAGAAATGTGAAAAAAAAAAAAAAAACGCACTGAAAAAATCCTCCTCCTAAGGGACTTAAAACCGGACTTACGGAATAGCTTAAAAATGAAAAACAAGATAAAACACTGCACATCAGTGGAAGTATGTGGGACATACTAATGCAGTGCTCAAGAGAAAATACCACATAAAATTAAATGTCCAGTTAAGAAATGAAATAAAATTTACAAACCTAAGGAAAGCAGATGGAAGGAATTAGCAAGGATATTGGGAGAAATTAATAAATTAGAACTACATATGGAAATACTAATAACAATTTGAAGACAGTAGTCGAATGGGTGGCTAACCTAATCAAGAAACAAAAGCGCAATCCAAATACAAGCTGGGAAAGGGGAAACAACCATACCGAAAACCGCTTGCAATGACTTTATGCGTGCTTCAGCTATTGAAATTAAAAAGAATAATCAGTGAACTTAAAAATTATGTCAATCCTGTGTCATAAATTTGAAAACCTGGATGAAATGGATGAGATTCTAGGAAAGTATGATTTACCAAAGCATCCCAGAGTTAGCTATTCTGAGTGGACTAATTATCATAGAAGAAATGGATGTTGTGTGACAACTGCATTTTCTGGTATCTAAATCTACAAAAGCACCAGGTCCAGCCTTTTTTTTTTTTTTTCCTGCAGAGGTTTACTGTGAAACTTTAAGAAACAGAGAGTAAGTTGTTATTGTGCACAGAAAAAGAAGGAAATAGTCCAAATTCTATGTATGAAGTGAATATAACACTGATATCCAAGTCACATAAAGCACATGCATCATAAGCTAACCATACACATTCTGACTCATGAATATCAAAGAACTTTAAACAAGAGAACAAAAATTATTACAACAGGAAAAGAATGGCATGCCATTTCCAGAAATGTAATGACATGTCATATTAATAGTTTAAAATAGAAAAACCTACCACCTCCATAAGTGTTGAAAAGGCACTTGATAAAATTAAAAATATGTTATTGGCAAAAAAAAAAAAAAAAAAACCACAAAATTTAGCATGTGGGGTTGGTACAGTTGGTTAAACATTTGGAAAAAGTAAAACTGGATCACCACTCACATTTTACATCAAAATAAATTGCAGATTAAAGAGTTAAGGAGAAGTATAAGCATCCTGGAAGAAATTCTTACACCTACTATAGCAGGGGGAATTTTTTCTTAAGTATAATTAGAATCCTTGAATGAGAAATATTGATATACTCAATCAACTATGTTAAAAATGTGGCAAACTCACATACATTAACAATGACAATTATAACTCATAATAGGCTAATTTCCTTAATGATAAATACCTACAACCAACACTAGCATCAGCAACCCATTAGAGTATCAACAGTTCACAGAAAAATATGTAGCAAGAGGGTTCAACCTCATTCAAAATAAGAAAAATACAGCTATAATGAGATACCATTTTCAGTCATCAGAAAATATCAAGCCATTTTTAATATAATCTAGTTGATGAGGTTGTGGGAGAACAGGCATTATATTTTGCTGATGGAAGCAGAAGTTGACAATAACCCTGTGAATAACAATATTGTAATATCTATCAAAATTAGAAATTAACAAATGATTTGAACAATTCTATTTCCATGAATTTATGTTACAGATAGACTACTGTATGTTGAAATAGCTAGTGGTTAAGGAAATTCATTGCATTGTTTTTTCTAATAGTAAAGGTGAAAGGACTCAAGTACCCACCAGTGTAAAACTGATTAAATAAACTATAATGTAATCATATATACAAAGGATTGCAATGCAGTTTTATGGAGTTTCTGCTCTATATGTATTGATACGGAATTTTCCCTAAAACACTGAAGAATGAAAAAAGCAAGATGCAGAAATGATATAAAATCTGTAAAAAGTCAAAAGGAAACAGACACAAATAAATCCAGGTATGCATAGATGTTTCCTTTAGGAAGGAGAATGTGGTACTTGGAAGGAGGGGTAAGGGAAATGCTTTTCATTATTTCTCTTTGGATTCTTTTGAGTTTTGTACCACATGCGTGCTTCAGCTATTGAAATTTAAAAGAAATAATGTGTGAACTTAAAAATTATGTCAACAGAAACTTCCCAAACTGAAAAGAGAGGAAAAGCAAAAAACAATGACTCTCCTCCTTCCCCATATCCACGAATTATGGAGCAGTTCTAACAGGTGTGAATATGCATGATGAGAATACCAGAAGAATCAGAGTTAAAGAAGCAGAAGAAATATTGATAATGGCTGAGAATTTTCAAAAATTGATGACTAACATCAAACCATAGATCCAGGAATCTGAGATAATACCAAGCAGGATAAATGGCAAAAAGTCTATACCCAAACATATTGTTATTCAAATTGCAGAAAATCAAAAATAAAGAAAAGATCCTGAAAAAAGCCAGAGAGAAAATGAGGAATTAAATCAGACTTCTTTTCAGAAATTATCTAAGCAAGAGGAGAACAGAATGGAGTTATTTAAATGTTGAAAAAAGAAAACACCAGCCTAAAAATCTATACCCATTGAAAATATTCTTCTAAATGAAGTAAAAAATAAAGACATTCCCAGAAAAACAAAAATTGAGGGAATTTATCACCAATAGACCTGCCTTGCAAGAAATTTAAACAGAAGTTCTTAATAAAGAAAAAAGAATGTAGGTCAGAAATTGGTAGTTACACAAGTAAAGGAAGAGCATACACATTCAGTAGAAATTGTCCTTTAGATTTTGGATTTTGACCTTTTCCTGAGTTAGTGGTATGTGGTGTGATATTCTGTGGTATGCTGTGTGTATTTGTCAGTTTTTATTCACTATGACAAAATGTTTGAGGCAGCATACTTTTATAAAGGAAAAAGGTTTATTTTGGCTCAGAGTTTTTGAGGTTCAGATCCAAGATCAGGAGGACCCCACTGGTTCAGTCTCTAGTGATGGTGTTCTTGCTGGAAGATTTCCAAGATGGCACAGAGCCAGACATGGCAAGAAACAGAAGTGTGTGTATAGAAGAAGGATGTAGGGCAAGCCGGGAAGCAGAGATCATTGGCCCAACTTGGGCTTTTATGACTTACCTTCTATGATAATTACCTGTTTAGAGCACATTCCTAGTGACCTAGGGTATTCTCAATAGGCCTACCTCCTAAACACCATAACTGGAATAAGTTACTACCCACTTAGCATCATTATCTTATGACTTTGGCGTTTCATTGTCTGCATGAGTTTGGGGGCCAAATTATTCTCAGACTACAGTGCTGGGCAACATCAGTGAGCTGCATCTCCTGGTTAGCTACTGATCATGAGGGTAAACAACTAAACACTGTGCTATGTTGCTATGATGTCTGTTAAGTTAGGTGTATTAAATGAGCTTTTGATTTGTGATATTTTCAACTTACAATGAGTTTATTAGGTTGTAACCCCATCAGAAGTTGAGCATCTGCATACACAGAATTGGCTAGAAGTGCAAAATCTGCAGAGGTGATGTTCCAGTTTCAGCTTGAGTCTAGAGATGGCAGGTTGCTTACACCCAGGAATTGTTCTTGTCCCATTTTTGAAGGTCAGGAGAGTAAGTCTTTTCTATTCAGGGCTGCAGTGGTTTGGATGAGGTCCATCCACAATGTGGAGGGCCAACTGCTTTACTCAATTACTGATTTGTAGATTTTAATTCATTATCAAAGAGAGAGAATGCTGTCATCTGCTGGTTCACTCCTCAAATGCCCACAGTGACCAGGGCTGGGTTGGGCTGAAGTCAGGAGCTAGGAACTCAATCCAGGTCTCCCATTTAGGTAGCAGGAACCCATCACTTGAGTTGTCATTGCTGCCCTCTAGGGTCTATACCAGCTGGAAGCTGAAATCAGGAACTAGATTTAGCAGTGAATCCATACGGGGCTCCAGTATGGGACACAGGCCTGTTACTAGGTCAGATGCCTACTCATTTAAATGATAACTTTATCCAAAGGCACCCTCACAGAAACACATTGTTATGGTTTGGATAATAGTTTAGGTGTTCTCCAAAGGCTCATGTATGAGGGCTGGGTCTCTGAAGTCTTATGTTGATGGTTATTTGATTAATGCTAATAGTTGATAGATTAAGGGTGAAGGCTTGGTACATTTATAGCGTCTGAAGGTAAGGCCTTTGGGAAGTGATTGTATTAGATTATGTTGCTAGGGTGGAGCCCCATGATTGGATCATGACGGCTTTATAAACAGAGACACATGGGCATGGAGGAAGAGCATGCATGGTAAGCCATGCATGTGATCCTTCATCCACATGCATTCTGCCATCTATCACCCTCATCAGACACCAGGCCACTGGGCCCACTCAATCTTGGATTGTGAACATCTAAAACTGTAAGATGAAATAAAGTTTCTTGCTTCCTAAGTAGGTCTCTTCAGGTATTTTAGTTAAAGTAATGAGAAGCTGGAATATGTTTGATCAAGTATCCAGGTGCTTTGTGGTACTTTGTAGCCCAGTTAAGTTGACACACAGAATTAACTATCTTGAATCTACCCATTGTCAACTTGGTATCCATACACATCTCTCTAAACCATAATCTCTAAGTAAAGACAATGTCATATGACAATAACAATGGCATAGGCTGTCCAACATGATACA